GAGAGAGAGAGAGAGAGAGAGAGAGAGAGAGAGAGAGAGAGAGAGAGAGAGAGAGAGAGAGAGAGAGAGAGAGAGAGAGAGAGAGAGAGTCTTTCATGGTAGACAGCCTTCTTCATGCGAGGTCGTGAACTTAGTGCACCATTGCTGAGCAGTGACATCATCAGTGCATGTGTTATATGAGCATGTTGTTGCGCACATTTTCTTCCCTGCGGTGCCACACAGTTACGCACATTTGGAGATTGTGGAGGATCGTGCACATTTCAAATAAACTAATATAAATGTCCGGTACCTCTTTTCGGTTTCCAAGTTGCCCGTGAGCTTTCCTTCAAAAGTTGAGACAGGAGTTCTATGGTTGGGAGACCTAGTGAGTATGATGGTATTAAGGCGGTACTCATGCTTTGGACTTTCTGATGTACCTGACTGCAAATTACAGCCGGGTTGTTCCAAACAAGTGTGAACGTGGCTAAGTTATAGGCACACACCCTCAACTATATCTCGTCATCTCCCAAGCTCCTCCTTTTCTTTGTTTTGCTACCTCCTCATGCTCCGCCTCATTTTGCCCCTCTCTCCCCTACCTTCCCTTCCCCCGCGCCCCGACCCTTGTCCTGCCCCCTCTTCCTTCGCTCATCCCTCGCTCTACCCCCGTTTCCTCTTTGTTTTCTCTGCATCCTGCTTAACATCGTTTCCTTTCGTGGTGGGTGTGCTCCTCTGCTTCCCATGTTTTCCTTTCATGGGGTTGCTCCTCTCGTGTGTCCTAGCTGTTTCTTTAGGCTCCTCTGTGCTAATCAATGCTTTGACCGTGTGTGTCTGCTTGTGTTTTCTCAACTGATCGTCCTTCACTGCCCTCTGTGAGTTCGCATCCTCTCCTGTGTGCCCTCTTGAGCACTCTGGTGAATCTTCCCAGTCTCCCTTATAAAAAAAAAGAAGAAGACAGAACTAGGAATTCAGTGACATAATTGATTTCTTTCCGTACAGAGAAGAATCAGAAATTTGTAGAATTTACTGAATTCAATGGATTTGGATTGTTCTCTGCAGAACCACCACCACATGCGCTTCTTCGAGATTACCCTCTCATCTAAACCCTTGGAAAAATATATAAGGAAAAAAGATATAATACTTTCAATTCCGAACCTGCTCCTTCTTCCGGAGGTTGCAGTATTATCATCGTCTTACGGTTGGGTGTGGTACCACTTCTTCCATCTGAGCCTGTTATCTCTTAAGGTGGCAACCTTGCCGCTTAGTAGCCAGTCTCTCAGGAATGTGTGTCTTTTGCTTGCTTCTCTTTCTGGTCTGTTTCATAGAGGCTGCTATTTAACGTCATCTGCTCCGTATTTCGGTCTCTGCCATACTCAGCAAACGAGTCCACATATCTCCCTGTGCACAATCTCTGCTGCATCGATTGCCCGTGTGCATCGGCTTTTTTTTTTTTTNTTTTTTTTTTTTTTTTTTTTTTTTTTTTTTTTTTTTTTTTTTTTTTTTTTTTACAACGAAAAAAACAGAACCTTAGGGTTCTGGCTCGTTTTCCATTCTGGGGAGCGTCAGTCTGGTTCCTATTCCCCCGGCAAGTCAGAGATTTACAACGGATGCTCATGCGCACTCCTCCCCCTTCTGGTGTGGAAGCCCAGAAGCTGGCATTGATTACTTCCATGACGATGGATGTACCGAATTTCACCCCTGCCCCGAGTGGCAAATTTCGGAGTAGATTGAAACAAACTTCCCTCCTGCCCTTGATGGTCCTGGGGGTGTTGGCGAGGAGTAGGATAGTTAGGGGGGGATGTTGGGAGGTGGTGGTGAGAAGAGGATCAACCAAAGCTCCAGAAGCTTGTTCCAGATCCAGGTCACTTCCGGACAGAAAATTGTCTCACTGCCCGTAGTGACCAAAGTTTTCGCCGAATGTTTCGGGTACGTTGTTATTGCACAGTGCGCAGAGTTCTGAGCTGTCTGGGTACGCTGTTATTGTAGTGCCAATTGTCTTTTCCTTTTAAACTTTTAACCTAATCCTTTCTGCGGTGATGTTTTTTGGTTTCCTGTTGCTTGCTCTTGTTTGCAGTCAGAGAAGTTTCAAGAGTCGGCTGGATCGTTAGCGGACGAGACTAAAACAAAAGTTAGTGGACTGTTAAGTAGCTCTTGTCTTCGATTTTGCACAGCCCGACTGTCTTGCTTTTCTTTTTCATTTTTCATACCCAGACGGTCTGCTTTCGTCTTTCATTTTTTCACAGCCAAACTGTCTGCTTTTGTTTTTTCGTTCTCATAACCTGCCTGTATGCTTAGGAATATCTGAAAAAACTCTCACCCATTTACCAACACTACCCTGCCATCAACCCCCCTCCCCCCCCTCCGAATACACAGGTCATCAAACAAAGATCAATGGGAACACAGCAGCAGTTCATGAAAACGGGGTTAAGAGGAGGAAGGGAGAGGAGTTGATCGTGGTGGCTTCCCATATGTCGTTTCAAACAGATGAAAGCGACGGTGGTGCTGTGACACCTTCTCCCCTTATACTCTTCTTCTTGTCCCTCCTCTTCCAGCTCCAAAATTCACAATCGTTTATTGCTGCGATCTACAACTCTGCCCTCCTCGTTGTCCTTCCCCTCCTACTCGCCATGCTGCTGAAACAAAAACGAAAGTAGCAGTAAAAAAAAGGCAATAAAACAGTGGAGGATGGGAGAGGGGTTGACGCTCCTGTTTCACCGTTTGTCTTTCCAAGAAACGAACAGGTAAGCACTGGCGTGAACCGCCCTCTCCTTTTCACCATAATCCTCCCGTTGCTCATGGAAGCACAACTGAGTGGACATCACACAACATTTGAAGTTGATTAGACACAAGCAAATGGACATCATGTGGCAAGAACTCACTACGGTAGTGGATGAACTTGCTTCTTTTGAAACCGCTTTCCCCTTTGTGTTTCAAGAAATGAACGGGGAGGGCCATGAACTGAGGCCTTGTCCCCTTCTCCTCGAAGTCCTCTTCCTTCTCCTCCGTGTTCTCCCCCTGCCCTCCACTTCCAAACGGTTGGACATCACTACCATCTTCTTCCTCCTTTCTCCCCCTAAACCAATGAATGGCAATTGCTCCTCCGCTTGGGATAGTGAAAGCTTGAGCACCAGAGAGAGTGAAGAATGGAAGAGGCATCAACAAGAAACGAGTGAAGGGTGGTGGGAATGCCCAATCGTGCTTCTCTTTCTTATTTGTGTGAAAAATTGATAAGATTGATCTTTCTGGTCCCTTGGGGCATTTGTTAAAATCAGTATGATACACAGAAGATTAGCATGGCCCCTGTGCAAGGCTGACACACGTAAAGTAAGAAATGGTCCAAATTGAAAGGGGGAAAAAAAGGATCGATCTTTCTGTCCTGCCCATTTGGCTTAGAGGTAACTTTTGATGAACACGAGTGGAAATCCTGACGTAATGAGATAGATAGGGATAGGGCCTTGCTCTACTACGCAACATTCCACTTGCATTTAGACGCTATCTGGACTGGAAACATGCAGAGTGTTGGACTCGTCCAAATGCACCTGGGCCAGAAAACGATCAAATTCGTGTAGTGTGTCGTGTAGTGGAGGGAGGCCCGTACAATAACGGTAGAGGCACATATTACTTGTTATCGTCTCACCTATCTTGATCTTTGCTGGTTCTGTTGTGTCTCTAGGCAGCACCGTCGTCGGACGCACAAGTGCTGGTGGCTGCAGACAGTAAACTACTATCGGACGGGCAGGCTACACCATTGTCCGTGGGAACAGATCCATATGTTCAAGACCTCCATGCTGCAGGGCTTAATGCGGTGGAGTCTGAAGCATTGCAAGTGCAAGGTATTGCGGTACGTCAGGAGGTTGACAGGCATGGCAGTGCAGTCTCATCAACGAGTGGGGAGGTGGATGTGGCGGAGCCTGAGCTGGATTTAGAGCAGGAGAACAATGAGCTCCAGAAGGCAGCAGATGTGGAGGAAGTTGTTGACTACGAAGAGATTATCAATGAGGAAGAGGCCAGAGTGGAAGAACCGCAAACTGCAGATCTTGAGGAGCAAGTGGATGTGGGAGGGGCAGATGACCTGGAGATCGCTTCAGCTGCCAGCTGCAGTGAAGACACAAGATATTTTGAAGCTTCAGAGGTGAGCATTCACAAGGTACAACCTGCCTCCTGCAGGTTGGAGGAGGCAGCACGCACATTGATGGGATGCATGTTCGCGGGCAGGTGTGTGTGTGTGTGTGTGTGTGTGTGTGTGTGTGTGTGTGTGTGTGTG